ACTTTGGTACATACACAGTGGAATACTAAAAAAAACATTGAAGAAGAATGATGGATCTGTTAAACACCTCACAACATGGTTGAACATGGAGGGCATTATGCTGAATGAAATTAGTTAATCACAAAAGGACAAACATCATTTGAGACCAATGTTGTAAAAAGTTTTTCTTGATAAAAGAAACAATCTATGATGGTTACAAGGAGGGGGAACGGGGCAAAGGTAAAATTATTCATGGGCCAGAGGGTAGACACATGTTAACATGGATGACAGGGCAGGCAATATACTTAGTACAAGGGGGTAAGGATTGCAGAGGAAAGATGAATGTATCAGGAATGCAATAGTTAAAGTGAATAGATGCAAATGCTGTTAACTGTACATGGAGGGGATTGCAAGCATGTAGTGAAGCAAACTGTCTGATTTGTTGAATGTAAAACTGGTGATCTGCTCTGTAAACCTTCACTCAATTCATAATAAAAAATTTTTAAAAAGAAATAAAATAAAAGCAAAAGTCCTCACCACTGGACCAATAAATAACATCAAGATAAATGGAGAAAAAATTGCAGTTGCCCAAGACTTCATTTTGCTGGAATCAACCTTCAACACTCATGGAAGCAGCAGTCAAGAAATCAAACAACATATTGCATTAGGCAAATCTGCTGTACAAGACATCTTTAAATTGTTCAAAGGCAAAGATGTCAGTTTGAGGACTAAGGTGCTCCAGACCCAAGCCATGGTGTTTTCAATATCCTCATGCATGTGAAAGTTGGACAATTAATAAAATAAGCCTTAGAATTGATGCTGGAGGGAAATATTAAAAGTACTGTGGAGTGTTAGAACAAACAAATCTGTGTTGGAAGTACATCCAAATGCTCCTTAGAAGCCAGGATGGTTGGACTTCATATCTCATACTTTGGACATATTATCAGGAGGGGACCAGTCCCTGGAGAAGACATCATGCTGGGTAAAGTGGAGGGTCAGCGAAAAGGAGGAAGTCCACCAATGAACTGGATTGGCACAGTGGCGGCATCACTGGGTTCAAGCATGGCAATGATTGTGAAGTTGGTGTAGGACCAGGCAGTGTTACATTCTGTTGTGTATAAGGTCTCTATACAACTATAACAAGAAACTTCCAGATGGTGATGGACCCACAGACCACACTCTGAGTACACTGAACGCAGTATGTATTCAGTCCGTATTTCAATTTCTCCATTGACCCCTATCTTAGTTCTCTAGTGCTCCTAAACAGAAATACCACAAGTGGATGGCTTTAACATACAGAAATTTATTCTCCCATAGTTAAGGAGACTAGAAGTCTGACTTCAGAGTTCCAGCTTTAGAGAAGGTCTTTTAACTTCTTTCAGTAGCTCTAGGCTTAGCATTCTTTGTAGAGCCCCATGTATCTTGACATCAATATTTCCTTAGACCTAGGAGCTTCCTTTTCCTGGATCAAGGAAGTCCTGATGTGGCACTGTAGGATAAGCACTGGACTGCTAACCACAAGGTTGGTAGTTCAAATCCACCAGCCACTCCTTGGAAACCCTATATAAGGTTGCTATGAGTTGGACCAGACGTGACAGCATACAACAAGGAGCTTCACAGTGTAGGGACCCCAGGTCCAAAGGACAAACCACTTTCAGCTCTTCTTTCTTGATGGTAGCTGTTGCTGTTATTGTTAGGTGCCATCAAGTCACTTCCGATCCATAGCAACACTTTGCACAACAGAACAAATCACTACCTAGTTTGACGCCATCATCACGATTGTTTTCTCATGTGAGCCCATTGCCGCTGCCACTGTGCCAATCCAGCTTGTTGACTGAGTCTTCCTCTTTTACTCTGATCCTCCATGTTTCCAAGCATGTAATAGGTCCCTCTTACTCTGCTCACTTCTCTCTCATTTTACTTTATAAGATCAGAGCTGTTGTAGACCTTGAGGAAACTTCCTTTTCATTGATTGGCTGCTCATAGCAGATCTCATCACATTATATTAGATCTCATCGTGGGGGTTACTACATCTTAACAGCCAAACCACTGAGAGTCCTGGGACCCAGTCAAGTTGACGCAAAACCTTTACTACAGCCCTAAACTCTCGTTTACAGTTGATTTTTATTTTTGATGCAGGAGTCCAATCAAGGATTACACATTGCATCCTGTGGTCCCAACTCTTCAGTAAACCTGAGCATTTAATCCCCCAAAGTGCTTTGTACAATTTTTAATGCTTTCCAAACCTCAGAGTACATTTAATCCTAAAGTTGCATTGTCATTCCAGTGGGTACCATAAACCCTAAAGTGCTTTGTATCCTTCCTGTTTGAAGCTCCCAATGCATGTTTTCAGTCCCCAAGCAGTCTATAAACTTCGGAGATTTTTGTTTGTTTTTTGAATGCAATTCTTTTTTTTCAGAGCCGTGTTAAACCAAGCCAAACCAAATTCGTTGACTGTGGAGCCAATTTTGACTCATGAGGATTCCATGTGTAACAGAGTAGAACCGCTCCATAGGGCTTTCTTT